AGCCTCCGTGGCAACAGTTAATCGAAAATCCAAAAGAAGTTTATTGAAATTTGACGCGCGTGCGGGCAGCACCACACTGATTTATACATCTGCCCCTTCATTGATTTTATATTTTAATATTCTGTCAGCTGTACGGACTGTGGTAATGCCAATATTTTGAAAAGTTTTGTGTAGCCGCTTCTGTTTACACACATCTCAAAGAGTCGTAGTTTATGTTGTTGGCGTATGCAGCATGCTCATGGTACCATAGAATGATCGAAGAAGTTAACAGAGCTCACTCGCGACCCAGTCAAATAAAAACGCCAGTTCATTGTGCTTTGCATTCGGGTGGAGAGGGTCGCGTGATGCGCCGCTGGCGCGTTTTTGGTCGCCGGTGCCACAGGCGAGGGCTCAAAGGCAATTAATTACCCGAATTCGCCGTAAATACCGCAGAAAGATTGCGAGATAATGATGTTGGATTAATTTGGGTTCGAAATGAGAGGTTAAAATAAGAAAAGTCTTTCTGACAATGCTCAAAACCAGAAAGTATGTTTTGAGAAAATTTGAAATGAGAAAGGTTAAAATGAGAAAAGTCGTTTTGCGAAGGGTCCAAACCCGAAAGTTTGTTTTGAGAACGGTTTAAACGAGAAAGGGAGAAACGCGAAAGTTGTTTTGCGCTGGGTTGAAATGAGAAGGTAAAAACGAGAAGGTAGAAATGCGAAAGGGTTCAAATGAGAACCACCCAGAATAACAATGTCAGAAATATGTGAAATACAAAATATAACCAAAGTAAGCACTGACAACGTTGACAATCAGTGCTCCATCAATGTTGCTTTTTGTTATTCCTTTGAAGTCCCCATCTGCAGTCACAAACTTACAAATAGACAGAGTAGGCAGCTGCCTAGGGCAGCAGAGTTTGGTGTAAAGGGGGGGGGGGGAGGCGGGAAATTTTGGAGAGGGACTTTAGGCAAGTATGTGATTCATATAGTATATGAAACTCCAAATATTCGAAGGAACACGAGGCTCGGAAAATACCAGAGAACGGAGACACTGACTAGTGACGAGTAGAAGATACGGATAGGACTAGACTTCAAGAACATTGTGACTTCATCCTGGATGATTTGTGGTTGTGTTCTTCTTCCCGCCTGTAGGGCAATGAGCTGTCAAACGATCCTCATGCTTGAAGCGCGTCAAAACTTACCTGCTTACAATCAAGTCTGAACATCTGCACTTGACATTGTTTGACGGCATCAAAAGCCGTTGTAACTTTGACCTCATAATAGGTATTACGGAACTGGCTATTGGTAACCCCCTCCAAAGATTACCTAGAGCCGGAGTGACAAAATATGTGCGTATGTGTTCATATTACCATAGGAGGAGGGAGGAGGCGGCACTTTTAAGTACTGGCAGGGGCGGCAAGATGCTAAGCGTGTCTCTCTTTATCTGAAAATATGAGACAACTAGCCTAAATGGTGCTTCTGGTCTAGCAGTTAGCAAATTTTTCAGAAACCATAATAAGCTTTGTGTTGTTCAATTTATGCGAACCCTTTTCAGGTCAGGGACAGTGACACCCATGGAAATCAGGCGCCACGCTACTTCCACAAATTAATTGTGGGAGGCTATATCTGTAGAAACTGCCCCTTTACACATGAGTACAGCAAAATTTACTACTAAAAAAAGGTAAGAGTGAAATACATAACGGTAAAGATGAGTCTCTACAAAGTAGATTATTCACTTGTCGACCAGGAAACTTGTCAAAGGATGGTGTTGCTTATGATGCCCTACCAGCATTTTCAAACACTGCCTAGGAGCACTCAGACTTGTCGCAAGCACATAGGTGATGAAAATGATCTTAGTGCCGCTCTTATCACTGCATGCGAGGCGCCTGTCCGGCTAGGACAGCTGGGAAAACACGCCAATGCCTTACCAACTCCAGATCCACAGGGAGTTCTCCTTCGACCAGTTTAAGCACCATGTCATGGAGAACTGCTGTGGCCACAATGCCGGAATGTGTTCAGCCCTCGGGCTGAACTTCAAGTCAGGAAAACAGCATTTCTGTACACCCTTCTACCCTCCATGGGGTGGAGTTGTCTATGTGCTTCTTCTCTCATACAGATAGCATCTAAGCATACTAAATAAGAGTGCATTGGTGAAGGGATGTTGAAGAAAACCTTAAGGCATATGCTGTGGTCACAGCATGCAGCTGTTCAAGGGGTTCTGAAACCACCAGCATGAAGATGCAAATATCAGCCCTGTCTTACCTACTTTTGGCAATTGACTCTAGTGCCGCAACTAGTGTGATGATGTCGTGTGAACTAGCGAAGCCTTCCTCTACCAGAAAAAGACCACTTTCCTGACACCTGATTGCTTCAACATCTGACTTAAAAACAATGCTGCCATTCATTGACCCTGGCACCGTGCCAGAAATCTGTGTATGAACAGCTGGTGGCCCAACATTTTCTGCACAATGATAAAAGTAGCCCCCCCCCCCCCCCCCCCCCATAACGCAAATGAGCTTAACATATTTTATTATTGGCGACTACATAGGAATGTGTTTGCAATCAACCACACAAAATACACATTGAAATGTCTTAATAGTAATGGAACTAGGTATATTTTGCCTTGGTGAAGGGAACAACAGTAGCTATCTATACATCAAAGCAATACCACCGGTAAATCCCTTGATCGTGCACACTGACAATTTATGAGCACCCAGAGGTCGCCCAGAACTGTTTTTGGTTTCATTCCTGCTGATAGAAAACAAACAGAAGCTTGTTCGCAAAATGATAACAGTTAGATATGGAGTTCACTAAGGGTAAGGCTGTTATCATATAGCTGAACAAATAGACGGCGGCGGTCTTTGAAGTACTAAAACTCCCACTAGTTCATCACATCTTGTCGACGATAACGATCATCTCTTCGCACCACCCGCCGCAGCCGGCCTCGTTACAGTGATGAACGAATCTTGCATCGTAGTCGTTATGATTTGTCGTCGCCACAAAGGAAACATGTAAGCAAAGTGTCTCTACAAGGCCCGATTACCAGATTTCCGAAACTAAGATTCTACTCTCGAGACAAGGAAACTTCACTGAAGATTTCTCCAAAGCTCTAAAAACGAAACGAATTGCTTTTTTTCATTGTTTTATTATTTAAACGAGTCGTTTGCCATAGTGCGATAGAAAAGACAGAAGTGTCGAACTTCAGCTGATCGCCGAGATCATAAAGTGCCGCTATTCAACGCATCGATCCGAATGAAGGATACTCGTTGAAAGTAAAGATAAACACGATTCTCAATAGCAATACGTTAAAGATATGCGAAAATAAATACAGACGAGAACGCACGTTGACAGGAAAAAGCTAACGGGCAGAGTGACGTGAAAGCCACAGTTGCGTACCTTCCAAAGTTAGGGCTAACACGCACTCGAGTGGAGAGCTAACGTAAAAACAGTGGTTGATAAACACTTCACGTGATAACATTACATCCTTGTCATTATCGAAAGTCATTTTGTCGAGACTTTCACGATGTTGTAGCCTAAAACACTTTCTACAACCACTTTATTCCTCCGCGTCGGCGTCGACCGTCGCAAATTCTTCATGTTTTAAATCATGATTTAAAAAAAAATACATAAAAAGCAAAGCACCCAATGTTGGGTACTTACGTTATGCGTGGCTTAGTAAAAGGTTTAGCCATAAACGATTTTGTTGCAACAGAACAAAACCGAAACTCAGCTTAGGTTTCTGGCTCAGCTCAGATTTGCGTTACGCCGTTGTTGGTGCAACGAGCCCCCCTAGTAAAAAATCTTATATGTATAAGAAATGTATTTGTCCAATAAACGCATACGATCAAATAGATCATATAGAACCTTATTCGAACATATGAGAAGAATATAAGATTCTGTAAGAAGTAATAAGAAACTTCTTATCAGTTTCTTATAACTGCTTATATAGTCATATATGTTCTTATAAGGTTCTTCTATCCTCTTATATAATCGTATTTGATCATATACGTTTATTGGACAAAAATGTATTATATATAGAAGATTTTTCACTGGGGCCTAACCGGACAAAACGGTGGAAGTAAGGCGCTCGGCGAACCCCCTGCCCTTTATCAGTCAACTGTCTCTCTGCATGGCGGGAGCGTAATCAAGGGGTGAAAAATCTACTGATGACCATTCCAAGGATCACGTAGGCAGGTGGCCTCCATCGCCCTAGCAGCTTAGCGGTGAACGGAGTATATCAGCATGGGAAGGAACACGTTGACTGTGATCGTTTTCGTCTCTGGAGTAAAATGTCCCTAATTAGAAAAATATCCCGAGACTAGGGTAAAAGCAAAACAAAACAACAGCACCTTTGACAAAAAGAAAGAGTCCCATAATATAATATAGAAATACTTACAAAGTTTCGTTTATTTTGACATGGCTAAAAGCACGGAATACATTTTAGTGCTTAAAACACAAGGACAAAGACGAGAATCGGACACCACAGTGCGCTACTAAGAACTGATTTTATTACATGAAACGTAACTTATATACCATACGTGTTTCTCATATCGCCCCATCACTAGCCAATCCGATGCCATGCCGCGTCATTGAAGAAGGTACGTTCCTTGTCATGTAGATCAATTGAGGTCACGCTGACGCATGCTGCCCCACCCTTGTTAATCTCATCTGCCTCGACTATCTCCCTCACAGTTTTTTTCCCTGTGCCTCGCCCGAACCTTGCACTAAGAAAACAACGGAACACACTTTTAGCTTTGACGATATAAGTGGCGTTTCATGTAATAAAATCGGTTGTTAGTAGCGCATTGTGGTGTCTGATTCTCGTATTTGTGTCCTTGTGTTTTGAGCGCTAAAATGTATTCCAAGTTCCAAAACCAACTAGCCCAAACATCTACTCTACTAAAAGCACGGTACTGCATTGTTTCACTGCGTTTTAATCCGGTGTTGAAGTTGCAATGGTAACTGACAAGCAGTCACGGATATCTGAATGTATCTTGGCATGCAGTTCTGATCTTTACTCACCGCAAGATGTCTCGTCGGAAAAGTCTGGACAGTCCACTACGCCGTCGCACACCCTCACAGTCTTTCCCCTTGCCTTCAGCTCGTTGGCGCACCCTAGGATAGGATTGGACCGGAAGCAAAGTGGTTGACATCCCGTTTCATTGGGACCGACCTCTGTAGGTGCGTATTCACTGGAAGCCACAGCTGAACTCGATCACTGCGCATGCTCGGAACCTCGGAACGGACTTTATTTATCGCCTACTAATCCCGATGGCGTGAAATGCGTGTGGCGGAAGCGTTGATACACCGCATTCACGCTCTCAACAGCAAGAGGGTTAGCGATGGCGGCCAGAAAATACCACCTATTGAGCAGACAGTTCTACGGCATTCAATTTTATTTGATTAAACGTCGGAGTGAGTTAATTTCAGCAAAAGGACGTTGCCAGAGAAATAGGCAGCATTTCCAAATGGACTAACACAAACAAGACTGCATAATAATGACAAACTCTTTTCTTCGTCACTGTAAAAAAAAAACAAATTGGCTAAAATGTTACGAAAATTTCAAAGGCACCCGCAAACGTAAGCATCGCTTGCTGCTGCCCTTACAATAATTGTTTTTCGCTCCTATGTTGTAGCCCTAAATGCTGGTGCACATGTGCGAAAAACCGTAGGAAATTGGCACAAAAATCGCTTTATGAAAAAAACAACAACAAAAAAAAACGCTTCACGTTATTTTCGAAAAACCAGTGTATTTAGTGCATGTAACTTCCAAATGTGGCCTCGGTAAAATATCGGGTATCTCAAAGAGCGGCCAGGCTCTTGAAATCGACCGCAAAATTCAGTTTCTTAACCTATCGTGCTTCGATTTAGTGCAGCGTTGCCCAGAGATGGTGCACTTTTTCTGTGACATTTTCAAAGAGCGAACTTACCGGAGGAAAAAGTAAAGAAAGAAAAAGGCTTAACTTCTATGGAAACCCAGCCAAGCCACCGGTCTTTAATCAATAGGGCGCCCTATTGTTTGAAGACCGGTGACTTCGCTGGGTTTCCATAGCAGTGAAGCCTTTTTCTTTCTTTACTTATTCCTTATGTAAGTGCGCTCTTTGTAAATTTTACAAAAAAAAGTGCACCCCCTGTGGGCAACGCTGCAGAAAATCGTATCGCGATAGGTGAAGAAACTGAATTTTGCGGTCGATTTCAAGAGCCTGGCCGCTCCTTGAGACATCCTGTATATATTGGGAATTTCTGCATCTCAAATACCCTCTTCTGGTCGAATTTGGAAGAATGGTCTGAACCTATTCTTTTAAGTTCCAATTTTCGGTTCTTTTTTGGATTGATTTTCATGCATGTGTTTTCGCGCGATACTGGGTGCGAATTTTCTTTTTTTGTAAAAATGCTTGTGGAACGTGGCATGGACATAGTCATCATTATTATAAGCGCTAATCATGACTATGATGATAATAATGACTTACATATGCTATGTCCCACATACGTCCTAAAAAACAGCACCGTGTGAAGCGGTTTTTAACGGGATTGGAGGCCTTTCTAATATGCTAGTTTTGCTGCACTCAACTCACCTGGTTTGTTGCGGCAGCTGCCGTTGCCGTCGTATTGCGGATAGTTACTGCAGTCGATTTTTCCACTCAATGACTTCGGCAGTAGCTTTCTGCACGCGGACCAAAATTCTGTAAAAGAACCACGTGAAGCACTAGCTATCAGTGGCTGTCTACTACACATTGCTTCTTTACCTTCGCATTTTTCAAAGTATATACACTCTAACGTTTTCTTACTGAAAATGTAAGTCACGCACGAAAGGCCTTTGAATAGATCTGGTATCTGATATTTGGTGCTCAGTTTTCATTGCACAAATATGAAACAAAATTGCGCATATTTTCAGTTACGTCGACTGTGTTGCTGGGCTATAGTTCGACTTGGATAAAGCTAAAAACCTTAACGTGATCGTTTTTCAGGTGATACATGGCATTTCAGACGATAAATGACAATTATAAGGCATTTACAAAAAACATGGACACATAACTCAACTTATTAGAACGTTTTAAGACCAAATACAAAGAAAGTACTTTGAACCCTTTATTAATACGAAATACGGAGAGCCAACAGAAGATATGATGTGCCAAATACATTCAATGATTTGCCCGAAGAGATGCGTAAGATAAAATCTTCTAGAACCCTTATAATTACGAAAAACAAAGTTAATAATGAAAAAGGGGAAACAACCTACAGGAAAAAGTTAACTTAAGGGAACTTTAATAAACTGTATTTCTCAGCGGATGAAACACAGCGCCGATGGAGTTAGATTTGGTTCCACCAAATCTTTAGTATACGCAGGAATAGGTGCCACCCGTTTTCATGCTTTGGTCGCTACAAACAATGGCAACAATGTGAAACACTACTAAACTAATGTGTTTTTCTTTGAACAAAAACATTAGCAACATACTATTTTCGTTGAACATCCAACATTTTTTCTCATTAGATTACTTTTTCCCTTTATGCGGGCGTCCCACGCACACACCATCTTGGGTTTTGCGGGAATTAAGGTGTAAAATGTAAAAAAAAAAGTACCAAATTGTATTACTTGTATTGTATGTTCAGTGGAGCTTCGGCACTGTGCATTCGCAGTTATCTAGGAAGCTTTTTTGCATCATTTAACTCTCTGCAAAAGCATTCCCGGAATGCATTCTTTCCTTTTCTTAATTTTTATTTCTCTTTTCTATTACATTTTTTTTTCTCTTTTTCTTCCTTTTCTTGTCAAGTATGCGTTGTTATGCTTAAGGCGATGGCCTGCATAAAACCATCAGCAGTTTTCCCCTCTCGTTTTGGCGCAGCGAATGCGATATAAAAGCGCTTTCTCCATAGAGAAATATAGTACTAAGAAAGAGTGGCCACTCAAGCCGTGGCCCAGGAGTTAGGGACTCTACTGGCCGTTAGTAGGGGCAACAGTGCCACTTATACTGAACATTTCTCAGACATATAATATTAATAAATAACTTTGTTGCATAGAGTAAACTTTTAAAATTATTACGAACTTCGAAAACTTTCAAAAACTACTTCAAAGGCTGTGGCTATGGCTGCGGCGCAACGGTTGGCTTCGGAATCGTGGACTCGATGGAGGGCGGATACTTGGGCTGCTTGGTCTGTGTCTCTTGCCTCGTTGTGTGGGTTGCGTTGGTTCCGCGGCTTGTTGTCTCGTGCGGGTTTCTAGTCATTCTTCCATTGCGGCCATGGTATACTGTATGCGTAAGAAGTATGGTGACTGTAGTTTTTTTTTGTTGACGGACATTTGCATTCGGTCACTGAATTTAGAAGCCACTGGGCCAGATTGTTCTTCTTTTGTTGCTGTATTAGTCACATGGTCATATGTGCAAGCGTCTTTCATGGAACTTGGACGGTAATTTCTTTAAATGCCCTCCATCATATTGCATTTGCCGCTGTAAGTCTCGCTGTAATACAGTACTTTGTTTCCAAGTGTTGCACTGTTGACGCGTTATTCATAAATTTTGCATGTGTATTCTTTTTTGTGAAATATATGAATAGCATGCATCACTCCTTGTCTTCAGAGTTGATGTTTATTGCGCTTCTCATAGTTACAAAAATAAACACTTTTGAAGCACAAATGTGAAAATATCCTTTTCGGTTTGCGGTTAGTTTGACTTATATGTAGCGCTGGATGACTTTTTTTCTGCAGTGCAATTAAGGTATACTTATAAAACAATTATATTTTAAACAAAAACCATGCTAGTTACAATAACACTGATTCGTTAAACTGGAGGGCGCATGCTACTGCCCGATTCAAAAATACCGCCAGAATTCGCCTTGAGTCTATTTATTCATCTGGCCATCGGTTACTGCGTGCATCCATCCATTCAACACTCAACTAGGGACAATACTGGCCGCTGGGTGCGCTCGCTGACACTGAATTGGGCCGCTGGGGCCTTTGGAAGTGTCCGCTCTTTACGTAGTACTATATTTCCCTAAGCTATCTCTCTCAACCACACCAGAATGAGCCCCGGCCCTCCCCTTGGAGCATGCAAAACTAGATCAAAGGATTTTAATTTCCCTTTATTGAGCGTTAAAGAGGGTTCAATCTAAAAAAAATTCAGATACCTCATATGAGTGGGGAACCAAAAGGGCCGTTCGTGTTACCAGCTTCTGCCGCTAGCCGCGCTTAGCGGCACCCCTTCCGAGTCAGTTTGCCGATAGGCGTCGTCTGCTAAAGTTTTAGCGGCATGTTCTGATTTTCCCCCAATTCCCCAAGCGCTTCAAAGTCATTCCTCGTTTTTTATCTGGTGTCTGATTTGAAGGAACAGTGCGCGACCATAAATTATGTTTTATTCTAGAGAAAACGGCAGCGGAGACTCTTGCAATGCTTCAGACAGCTTAAAAAGAAGATACTATGAAGAAATCGCAGGTCTACGAGCAGTTTTCTACCTTCAAGGCCGGTGATTTATTGATCGAAAATACACCTCGATCAGGCCAACCCTCAACCGCCTCAACTAATGAAAACATCTATAAAATTCGTACATTGTTCACTCCGAGTATGTTTCTCCTAGTGAAACACTTAATCAATTTTTTTACTAGGTAGGTTTAAGACGCTTGCGCCACTCAGTTAGGCGGAAACGCCCCGATTTGTGGGAAAGGGGGGAGTGGCGGTTCCATCACCACAATGTCGCAACACAGACTGCCCTGTCAGTGCAACAATATTTAACAAAAATGGCAAAACATCGTTTTTCCACCCGCTCTATATTTACCAGACCTTGACCCAGGTGAATGTTTTTTTTTTCGCCCGTATGAAAAACGTTTAGAAAAAGAAACGTGTTGTGAATGTGAAGGTCCTTCAAATCAGATATTTCAAAAAACGAGAAATGATTTTAAAGCACTTGGGGAAAATATTCACGGCATGTAGCAAGAACATTATCACATGACGCCGGTCGGCAAACTGATTCGGAAGGGACAGAGCTGTATATGGGGAGAGTTTGGCCAGTTCGGGTGATCTCGTCGCCGTAACGCCTCCCTCCCGAATGAGCCAGTCAACCCGCGGCGCAGAGCGAGAGGCGTGAACGCATGCGCGTGACCTCCCGGCTGCTTCCAGCTGAGCGGGGAGGGCCGCCATTTCGATTCATTCGCCCGGCGGAATTCATAGCTGAATGCATGGGATCGACATCAAAATTCCGGTTTTCTCTTCTTATTTGGCAGGCTTTGGCAACAAAATGATATAGTGTTATTCCTCGGTGGCTTAAAGAGCTAACGAATAAAGTTTCCCTATGTTTGAAAGCAAACTTTTATTCAGGCGAAAAAGAAATAAGCCCGCAGCAGACAACGCGTAGCCTCAACAGTGCTCGGCGCGCCGACAGCGCTGCGTCAAAATGTCGGTCGTCTCCTCTTTGCTCCCTTCTTTCTCTCTCGCTTCTTCGGCGCTTTCCTCCCTTCACTTTTCTCCTCTACACCCAATGCCCAGACTCACCCAATATACGGCTCTAGGAAGGGATACCGCTAAGCGCTGCTAGCGGTGGAAGCTGGTACTACAAACGGCCCACCCTCCAGAAATTCATTCCGGTTACTTTTGGGTACCCCCTCCTATAACCTCCCTCCCTCTTCATCTGGTGTGCAGGCGCGCATTTCATTCTTTGGCTAAGAGGAAACAAAAATCGTTCTCATGGAGTTTTCTAGGACACATAGCTTCACACTCCACCACTGAAAGTATTCAACGTCTACATTTTTAGCGGCACGTGGAAAACAAACGAAATCGGCACTCAAGCATTCCGCTTACCTCTATGTGACACGCATTGCATAGGCAAGCATTAAAGTTTCCTGCACCAGACACCACAACTCGCGAACGTGAGTGTTACTATATATACTACGGCTCTAAAATGCGGAAGAATAAAAGATTATGAGCTGAGCACTAGAAGCACGACCACAGTATTTTTCGTACCATGTAGTCCGCGGACTAGACGAGTTTAAAAGTTAAACTTTTACGCGGTGCGGACTATATCTACAGGTGCGGACCTGTACAAGGATTTTCTTTTTCGAGATATTATGACAATACGAGTTTCGGGTATAACATAATATGCTAATCATTATTTTTGTATGATGCTAGCTTCTTACTGGGGCTAACAAAGCATGCATTTCTGGAGGTGTACTGTGCATGAGATGTTTTACGTGCCGCCTACCCTTGGCACAAGCAATACACTAAGAGTATATATAAAAGTATTTTTTAAGGGGAATTTATTCGCGGTGTATTTTCCGCTTTTTCCTCGTAGATGGCGCAGATCTTCTTTTCCGGAAGGGTTGCTTGCAGGTCGGGCTCTCAGGGTGGGTTCGGGCCAGGGGCTTTTCGCTGCCGATCTAAGCGAGCTAGATTGCGTTCGCCCGCCGTCCGCCGCTACCGGCCGGAGGCAGCGGCCGGCGCGGAGCACGAGCTTAGGCAAAGAACTGGCTCTGATTTGCCTCTCAAGTTGAAAACAGGTTCGAAGTATTCACACATATTTTGTGGACAGCCTATTTACCCATGGTGCTGTGCGTTGGTTGTGCACTCAGGCTCTCAGCGTTTGCAAGTGTGTCATTTGCGTGCAGATGGAGTCGCCCACGCAACTGACGTCTTTACATCACGTATCGACTTCGCCAGCGTTCATCGATTGTTCGTCGCATGGAGTTTGGTGCCGACGAATACGCTGCGACTAAAGTTACTGGATCCTGGGAAAGTAATGTCAGGCTTCGCCGTATGGTCGCCATTTTGGTTCATGGAATGAACAGTTTTTCTATGACCTCTTCATTCTTGTTGAGCCGATTTTAACTCCGCGGTGACAGGTTGCTTTATAAATGAATGTTTTGTATGTTCTAATTTTTCTATTCACGCACCGGCAATAACAAGCGCACATCTTCGCACCAGCATCACGTGCGGCGTCGGTCCTTGGCAGCATTGAAGAACAATTTCCATGTCTTGAAATATGCAAGGATAATACTATCATTGTACGTAAGAGATACCAGGAGACCAGCATGACTGGTCAGCATGATTGCATATACAGTGCCAAATACGCTTATATTGGCGAGGAACTCTTTCAGTACGATGAGACTCCATAGAGGTCATGGTGCGATTGGTTAAGAACGACCCTTTTGGTGCTTCGCAGACTTAGAAAACCGACCTGGTGATTGCTATGGCAACAGAATCCGATTAGCCAATTGCCTTACGGGATTTTGCTCGTATGTATAGACGTTTTCCGTTTCCTGTCGTTCCCAGTTATGTGGGTTCCGTACAGTGGCGTACCAACTTCTTTCTGAGTGGGGTGGGAAAACCAGACCAGAACCCCCCCCCCCCCCCCCCCCCCGGGCCGGGAGGCTGTGCCCTTGGTATCCTTTAGGCGCCGCCGGCCAGTGTTTGCCCTGCCCAGTGGCGGCTGTTTAAGGGGGGGGGGGGGGGGGGGGGGGGCAAAACACATGCCTTGCCCCCCTCCACTCTGCAGAACTAAGGGGGGGGGGGGGGGCGAGCGTCCCCCGTGCCCCCTCCCCCCCCCCCCCCCCCCCCGGTTGGTACGCCCATGGTCCCGTATCTGGTACGCGGGACGAAAATATGACAAGACATGTCAAGCTGGAATTTGCGAAACAAAATATAGGGGAGACAGAACAAGCCTGTGTGACAATCACGCATTTTTCGTCAACACCTTCCAGCGGCGTAGGGAGATTAAACTTATATTTGTTTGCAGGCAAACCAGAAGTGACGACATTCAAGATGGCTGCGCCCATGTGAAAAAGGTGTATAGGTTAGTATCTGTTTGGGTCAGGCTCGCAGGCAGGGAAGGCAATGGCGCCACTTTCCCAGGATCCAGTGACTTCAGTAATGAGTAGCGTCCGATCATGCACGAGTCACGATCGTTATGTAGAAGGGGTCTTCTGACCGTGGTGCCATTTTCAGCGCCTCTAAATACGCGCCTGCTTTGCTAGCTTTCGAAACCGACGAACACGTGCGTGCTGAGCTTTGAAAGAACGCATGCTGATCAGTGCGATCTTCACAGCCCAGACTTTTGTAAACGGGGCTTCTGGCCGGTGCGATCTTCAGCGTTTTTGCATATGGCTGATGCTTTGATAGCTTTTCGAAGCACGATTGCTTTTCGAAGCGTGATATTATAAATATAGAAACGGCATAGAAGCATCTTCCAGCATCTGCTCGTCCGCGCAACAAAACGTTAAAAAAAAATAGTGCACCACCTTTAGCGTCTTATCAAAACGCTAATAATAGTTTACTTCTGGCTTTTTTTTTTTTGTAATTCTTGTTTTCTTTTTTCTTGGGTTGCCAAAGGCATCGTAGCGCTTTTTTGCACGAGGACAAAAGAAAGAAAGACAAGACAGACTCAGTGCTCGTGTCTGTCTTGTCTTTCTTTCTTTTGTCGTCGTCCAAAAAAGCGCTACCATGCCTTTGGCAACGCAAGACCAATACCAACTAGCCCAGCATTCAGCTTTGTTTTCTTTCACATATTTATTGTTCGTTTGCAACGCGAGCTAGTGTGCTGAGCCGTAGGGTATTTCTGAAGTGAAAACCGCGCGTGTATAGTTTTGAGTGACACTCAAGAAGCTCGACTGTACGAGTGCCGCTAGCTTTCTCTTCACAGTCACGGAAAGTTGTGCCAAGCAGATGGGGCGCGGCACGCGCTGTTTGCATCCCACCGGGTGCGGTTGAGGTTGGTTTTGTCAGAGGTCTGCAGAATTGTACTTTCGTCTACAGAATGGGCTTGAATAACTCCGCCTGGAATAATGGAAGCCTGTGCATTGGAATTTTCATGTCATCTCAGTGAGAATGAACGTAGACAAGATTGGAGAAGAGCGCTACGTGAGCGGTCGACTGGAAGTCGTGTCCAGTTAAGGCGTCGAAAAACGCTCGGCGTCGTGCTGGGGCCCCATTCTTGAGTTGGCGCCTTTCAGGTGGGGTGACATACCGTTGAAAAAAAGGAGGTCGTTCACAGGCTTGTGTGAGACGATGAGACAATGCATGTATTGCGTAGTGGTGCCCTGACTACGCAATATATCTCAACGCCTCGCGCTTCCCTTTCACTTTCAAAATGATGCAGCGAGCAACGGCAGCGAGTTCTCCGAACAGCCATAGTAAACGCGAGACAGAGGAATGATAAAAAGACGGACAGAACAAGCAAGTCTCAACGAAGGAGAACGGAGACTTGGTTGTTCTGTTTTATTTTGTGTGCATCTGTTCCAGGTTTACTATGAACCAGCTCGCCTGTGTTTTCTTCTCTATCAAACCAGAGTGATCCAGCCAATCCAGATTGGTTTCTATGGCATTTCAGAAAAATGTAGAGCGCGCATGTGCGGCTTTGAGCGGCGCTCGAGCTGCGTGAGTGCACGGACGCCAATAGCTTTGGCCGTCTCTTGTATGTATGGGACGGAATGTGGTGTTAAGCAGACGGCAAGCGCCCTTTGCTTGACACCGGGTGCGGCCGAGATTGATTTTGCCGGAGAATTGTGAGATTTCATGCCGTCTAGAAAATGGGTCTGAGACGATGCATGGAGGACGTAATGCAACACGGAATGCCTCGCTGTCGTGCGCCTTCCTTTTACTTTCAAGAGTAAAGGGGTTTTTCACTGGACGCCATGTCTGAGCGCGCTGTTTGGGGCGCGTGCTCAGTACAAGCTGACATTAATATGCTGCTGGGACCGGCAATCCTGATGGTGTGGAATTCACGATGTGAAAAAAATTCGGCACCAGGAAACGCTCTGCAGTCTCGCACACAGCTATGGCCGCCAGTGAATACTCCTGATATGACCGCAGCCGATGCAGCGAGCTGTCCTAAAGTAACTATATCCCAACCGTTCTAGAACTACGTGACTTCCAACTCCGGGAATCGCAAGACAAAACCAGAAAGCCACATCCCCTCAGTACTGGATTGACAGCTTGTACCGTCTGCTTGATACATCCCGGCTATCTCGGCTATTGAGTGGCCCATCTCTTTTTAACGTAAAACGTTCTTTGGCTAGGTGCTCAGCCTTCCGTGAAGACTGATAAGTGAAGCCTGGTAAATGTGGCCACGAAGCTGGATGCCGTGCTTACTTGGAACTCAGAGTATCGCTAAACGTTTGTGATGGTAGAACGTTTGTATGCAACACAATAATTGCCCAGCGATTCGCCATAAATTTTATGTTCCCATCTCGATGAATTACGCGAGACTAGGGATAAAACTCAGTTTATCAATCGTGGAACAGATATAAATTTATGTGTTAACAGATTTCGCGGGTTATTGCATATATCGGCACGATAGTGTAGACTATGTACTCAAGTCTATATTCCACCAAAAGTGCGAGTGAAGCTGAAGAGGAGAGCGCAGTGTTTCTAAGGCCGGCACCGACGTCACACAAGCCGCCCTTGTAGTGACCTGGCTGCTCACCACGTATTTTTGCAGCGTCAATTTCTACCGTCGCATTTATTTTTCTTGGCAAGAACAACTAAAAGTGGCATGAGCTACAGAACGAACACAGCGAGCTCAAGGCAGCTCCTATATCTCAGCGTTCGTCTGACTGACCCACATCATCCTGTAGATATGTTTGTAATTTGTAACCAAGGCCGCGACGATATGAGGCCTGGAACAAGCTGTGTCCATGGATACTTTTGTCATCAAGTGTCTTTTGTATGAGCGGTGAGACAGCGCTTTCAGGTTCTTTGTCGCGTTGTACTTCTCGCTTCGGCACGGACTAACCGGAAAGGTTGCAAGCCTCTTACGTCAATCCCTTGGTGTCTCTTTTATTTACTTTTCTGGGCACTTGGTGCACATCAGCTATACAGTGCTAATCGCGAGTCGTATGCAGTTCCAGCTATGGACGCTGCAGCATTTTCCAAATGGCGCCTGCCTAGCTTTCATCTGCTCTCAAGGTACAGTGAACTATGCTCCGTTTCACATTTGTTGTACGACGCTGTCAAGGTTACTGGCGCGAGCGAGCGCAAATAAACGCGAAATGAAGACGTACACAGGTGGCAGCAACAATCTCAACGTTGTACACAAATATGAAACGGAGTACAGGTGCGCTTTAACAGTGTAACGACAGAAAGTTGTCACCGTGTATATCTTCGCTAGTATAATGCATGCGCACACACTCCTTTACAGATGCAACAGAAGGTGAGAGGCTCCTTGCCGGTTCAATTTGCCGGTTCAAAAAAAAAAACAAAAAAAAAACATGGCGATCAATTGACTCTTTTTCTAACCCGAGTAACAAGCGCAGTCTGGCGTGTTTTCTGCCATCTTCAAATGAAGGGCAGCCCAACGTGCTCCCGCCCGTCAGACCACATTCGCATCGTTCCGCTGTATCCAGTTTCATAGCTTTGTGTGCCCCGTACTAACAATACTAAAAACAAATCGTCAATAGAGACACGCGCAAAGATATGTGCAGAATCTGTTGGTTGTGCAGGAAGATACCCTCCTAAAATGGCGACAGCGGGATGCAACGCCAGGGGAGAGGGTGTACGCATGCGCAGAAGCTTACTGGAAAGAAGTTGTATTGTTAATGCTAAGAGTATCGGGCTGTGTACGTGTTAACTTCAAAGTGCGCCTACCTTCGCAGAAATCCCTGCAGGGCAACAGCATCTCGTCGTCAACGCACTCTGGCTGCAGCAATTGGCAGACGAACTCGGCAGCGAGCGGGTAGCACTCGGAGTCCACGAGCTGCCGGTAGGCTACCAGGTCCCTGTAGACCTCCTTGGGGCCGTTATGGCCGACAGCGTTCGGGTACGAGGTCAGGTTGTAGGGCAGGCCGCGACAGTGGTCAATGGAGAGCGGCTCGCAGAGGCGCGGGGGAATCACCGCGGGCTGCTGCGTTGTCAGTCCGGCCAGGTAGCCCGGGTACTGCCGCTTGGGCGTCCAGGACTCCGCCAGGGGGTCGGCCATCAGCCTCCGCTCTGGGAACACGTGGCGACCGAGCAAGGTCATCGCTGTTATTGTTTTCGAGAGGCGTTTTCACACCAAGTCAGTACTTAAAAAAGACAGAAGTTAGATGGTTAGACGGCGTGAGGTAGGTGTGCCATAGTATGACGACACTCGCCCAGACTGTATGAGAAATGTAATAAGTGTAACTGAACGGTCGCCAGGCTTGAACCAGTGTTGCCTTCCTGCGGAGCGATCGGAGCGCTAATCGCTGCAATGTCCGGAGGGAGCTCGGCTAATGATGAAGCCGAGAATATGTTTCGGCTTAGGTCCGCGATGCGACAAGTAGCATGTCAAGCTTCATGCTTAGTGTCGGATCGATCGCAGTCGGTTCTTTCAGGTCTAAACATTATTCCAGAGAATGCGGTGACCTCTCAGATCCGCATCAACCCTCACGGGCAATGTGGAGAGCGCTCGCCGCCGCCGAGAACAGCTCATTATTGTGGCACAGAGGGAACTGACATAATGAAGGAAAGAAACAATCCTGATATATGTATATATATGCCATCCGAACATTTGCATGCAAGTGCCCTAGCGCGAATCGCATTTTTGGGTTAAAGAGTTTCTGTAACCCCGTAATTAGGCATTATCAAGCTTCAGCGCCATCTGGAGGAAGAATATAACAGTTTAGCGTTTTCCCTACTCATGGCGGTCATGAAAACGTTTTTCGACGGGCACTGTCACTTTCGTACGTCAAGGTCACGTGCGAATGGGTTCTCCACCTCTTAGTTATTTGTCAATTAATTTTAGTTTCGATGTTATGAATGAATAAACCAGTCAATACAAAGGGTCAATCCATAAACCCCATGAGAAAATTGCTTTAGTCAAGTGGCATTTGGTGTCGACTTTGTGCAAAAGGGTTGATTGAGTCAAAAAAAAAAAAAACGCTGACGCAGCATTCTAATTTGTGCGTCGCGCTGTCATCTTGAGTGATCCTCCACTTGGGAGCGTCTTCAGCTTGGATGGTGTGAACGCGTACGGTCTAGCAAGTGCTCTCTTGTAAGGTCTCTGCTTTGCACGGCGTGCCGCCGCATCTGCACCTGTTTTTTATACAAATAAATTACTCTTATCTTCCTTCATCAGCCAGCAGAAGGCCGCCAGTAAGGCACTGATGCCTTACTGGTGGCCTCACTCAGATGATGATAGTGAACAAAAAGGTCAGCCTGAGTTTCGGGAAGGCTCATTTGCGAAGTTTTCTCAGTCAACTCCATAAATTCATCAGTGAATGACTATCTCCATGCTCCATGGGGGACTAGGCGCGGGACATTTTTTTAAAGGATAGGAATAGAGCTCGCGCGCTTACTTTCTCATAAGAGCACATGCTCACTAGTTGCCAATCACTGCCATCTTTAGGATAGGTGAGGAGCAAATGACTAAACACCGAAGAACACCGATGAATCATCCGAACGTAAAACGTCTGCAATTCCCAGTATAATTAGTTGATATTTTCTTATTCTCTTGAAATTACACACTCTTATCTTACCCTGGACGATGATTGACTCCGGGTCAATTTTCAGGCCGTCGAAAATTCCCAGCTTGCTGCGGAGGACTTCGTCCGTGAACACAAAGTACAAGTCTCCCGCGTCTACGGACTTTCGATTAAGAGCGAAGTGCACGTTGAAATGAACCGTCAGCTCCCTATTTTGTCTCCTGCGGGGGAGAAAAAAAAAATTCCTCGTAATCAGCGATGTCTCGCGTTTGTGTTTCTCGCCTGGTGATGACCGAGTAGCGAACTCACTTGTTAAAGGCAATAACTTCTACCTTCTTGAACCCAGACTGGTAGGCACTTGTGTTGAACAGCTGGTCCAGCTGTAATATACGAGCGAATACGCGTGAATGGCGTCAGTCTCAGAAAAAACCCAACGCGCCCTTTTCCGCGATGCGCGCCCTACACCGACGCTCGAATAGAACGCGGTCAGCTCATAGCCCATTCCGAAGTTTTTAAATATCTCGCACCAGCTATCACCGAACTAAACTTGATCTCAGCTTGTTTAGGGCATACACGCGAAAGAGGCTGAGCATGATGAAGTCTAATTAAAGTTCCTCGCTCTTATTTAATACAACAACGACGTGAAAATTACGACTGGCCATCTCGCTCCCATGTTTTCAGGTTGCTACAACTATAGAATAGAGGAAGCTGTGCTGTAGTGATGAACACTCCCTAATCTGCATGCTTTCATGGAGCCTTCGCTGGGTTGGCATTTCATTGATTTTGCACCGTGATGTGGACCAGGTATCAAGACAAACATAATATTGGTACCCTGCGTTCACTGGTAACGTGCCATAGACAACTGAAAGCATGGCACACCCGACTGGTGCTTCAGGTGTGCAAGCGCGTACAGCGCGCGCGTATATGGCGGCCGCCAGTCGCTTTGCTTGCAATCGTCTATATTATTAAAGATCTTTTAGGCTGTGCAGAAGGCTACCTCGACCGTTTTCTAATATCCCGCGTTGCAATTCTACGTACCTTGGCGCGATAGTACTCCGCCTTCATCATAAAGTCGTCGGTGAGGCTGTTCGCCAAGTTTTCGCTGAACCTGTCTCCCTCGAGGACTGTGAAGGATCCCTTGTAGACTCGCTCTGCAATTCGGAGATGGGCATGGGGGCGAGCTCTGATCGTCACCCGGGGAAATATCTTATGCGTACCTATTGACCGCTGGCCTTCCAGGAACTGAACTGCAAGGTCGAAAGAGAAACAAACATCGCATTAGCACACTACATTTCGTTAGCCTCGCTCATGGAGGTAGGAAGAAGAGCAGGCGACATAACGGCTTAAGCCAGCCAAACGTGCAAATCCCGAGGGAAGTAGAGGTCGCTTGGAACGCCCCCAACGGTGAGCAAAATAGCCGTTGGCGCCTAATCAGCTGTCTTTTCCCGTCCTTTCCGTCCAATAGCGTCTTTTGGTTTTGTTCGTTTTCAGTCATCGCTGGGGGCGTGTCCCTCCAAACCGGAAGTCTCCCCCGCTTGACCTCTGGTGGCGCCATGTCGCTTTCAGAAGCTCCCTACCTCCATGGCCTCACTAATGTCGTGATAACTGCGAAAAGCTGAACACAGAATTTCGCGCCATTTCAAAGAAACATACTGGGGAGTCCTAGGCTTTGTCTATATATTTTTTTTTTATTATTATTTCCTTGCGTCTTTGTTTTGCCCGACTAATGTCTCTTAACATTCCGGATCCTTTTAAATTAAAAATACTACTGTCCCTATAAATAATTTTAGGCCACCTTAACATATATGCACACCCTGCTGCTCGGACCAAAAATATTAAAAAAAAACTACAGAGAAACACATCATGGACAACTGGATTCTACCTAACTGTCGAGAAAAGTAGGGCAGCCTTGGCCGAGCAGTTAAGGCGATTTACTCGAATCCTGTCGACTGCGTTCTTTATTTCAGCACCATACTATTTTAGGGCAACGGGTAACCCTCCAACTCCTCCGTGAGGAAAGAGGTGGAACCGAGCCTGTGAACAACCCCTCTGCCTTCATGGAAACATTATCATGCGACATCTTTGGACACACTGATTTAAAGCGAGGCCCAGCCGGACTTCGGCAGAGTGCTTGTGTCCAATATTTGTTGGCGTTCAATTTCGCCGCGATGGCATCAACATTCTAGAGCACGTGCTTTGGTTATTCAAGTTGGTGTCCTTTCACTCCTCCAGCCAATAGCGTCCCCTCATTTCCTGAACGAACCAACTTTTTTTTTCAATATGGCAACACGCGGTGTTAGCAACGCGAAGAGACGCCGGCCTTTGTCTGTAATTTTAGCGTGAAACGTTCTCTGGCTAGGTGTTCCGATTTCGTGAAGCCAAGATAAAAGCGCGGCCGCGAGGCTCGACACTCATTGGTTGACGGGTGGGAGAGAAGGAGTGAGATGCTCGATGCTGATTGGTTAACGGGAAAGTCATGTGGCCAGTTGGGTAGGCGAGGAGGAGCTCGACTACCTGTGCGCACTGAGGGAGAGGAGCTCGAGTGTTTGGAAGGCTCTGGAAGATAGCCAGGTTTATCAGCCCGATTAGCGCTAGTATTGGCACACTCTGGGAACAACTATCTAGTCTACACCTGGTAGGCGCTATACTATCTAATGAAGAGAGCCGTGAACGTAGGCGTCTGAAAACTCATATTGCTAAACGTTTGGTATGCTAGAACGTTTCACGTATGCAACACACTTGTCTATCAATTCACCCTACAATTTTTAAGTCTTATGTGACTCTTATGTGGTAGGAGCACATGTTCCTTTCTATTCACATTTCACCAGGTGAATATAATAGATCAAGAATCGAGCATGTTTCTTTTTGGCGTGTATTTTCGCATCGCGACCTTGAATGTTCGCGATTTTACCTTGCGCAAAAAAAAAAAAAAAGAATTACCAGCTGCAACAATCACTACCTCAAAATAAAATAGATTTTCTACCACTTAAATCAAAGATCCCTCTGACGGCGACGTTGAACTGGCGCTGCGACCCTTTGTATGTCGGTATGAGGTATGTATGAGACTTCGGATGTTGGCAGGCTATTTTCTTTTTATTGGAAGGTTGGCGCCATTACGGAACCCGAGCATGGTCGTTGATGAGCTAGGCCAATTCATATTGTGCGACTTCATTTTATTTAACCGTGAACGAAGTTATGTGCAAATATGTGCCAAACAGAGCCAACGAGGAGGCAAATTTTGTTCGACTTCTCGAGACTGTACCTGCATTGCGATCGAGCGTTTTCAAAAAACTCCCCGCCACACCGACAAGGACCTCCCTAGGGTACCCTGCTTGTGTGAGCATGTCGACCTGGTTGCAAAAACATGCAAAAGAAAAGTTTTCGACGCCCCAAGTCTTAGCCTAGGGAGAAACCCAACGTGAGACCGGTGGTTCTTTCTTATATACACAAGGTTACGCATAGACTCAAAGGGGTAGCACAGCCACATGAAGTCCCCGTGGTGTCCTCTGCGCCTTCAAAACTGGGGCGTCTATGTGCTAAGGTTGAGAGGGGTCGTCCGGAAAAACTCGGCTGTGGTCAGAAGCACAAGAAGGAGTTTGTGCCGTGCGCGGTCGGCGCGGTGTACAAACTTGAGGTGTCCTGTGAGAGAGTGTACTTTGGCCAACCAGGGAGGTGTATCAATGAAAGGCTCAGAGAACACGTACTTTCGATAAGATCTTCACCTTCCGGTAATTTGGCCATTCGTTGTGATAGATGTGGATGCTCCCCTCCTCTTTTGGAAAAGACAACGATTGTATCTCGGCACAGTCAGAGGGTGACCCGTGAAATATTCGAGACGTAATACATTTAGAAGTATAAGGATGAGTGCGTCAGTGCTCCCTCGGTTCCACTCTTCGGTAAGGAAATCATGTCGGAGAGCTGTGACACATGCCCTTAGGCGATGGTCCGATGTATGTTTGTCTGTGTTTTTATGCCGTAGGTGGTTTTCCAGAAATAAACCAGTTGTCAGTCAGCGCTCGATCTGTGTGTTCCTCGTTCTTCGTCCTACGTACGTTTGGCGCTGTGTCCCCCTTCGTAACTACGTTTTCCATAAAATCGAGCGAGCTAACTCTACAAACACGAACCTGTTTTCTCGAACGACGCTTTCACTTCCCGAGTGTGGGTGCATTACAGGTTCGCATGAAGCGTTGAGCTCGCTCTCGTACTTGCCCTTTTGGTGGAATGGAGTGCACATTTCTAAGAACGCCTTCAGAACAGTTATATTTGTTAAAGTTGTTTTTGTGGTCAAGAAATATTTGCGCATTACTCAATTCTCTTTTACGTTTGTCCCCATTTTTTCTCTGTTGAGCGAAGCGGTTTTAATTTTATATCGCGTGCCGTGGAGGGTCTGCTCAGGAATTTAGAATTTACGCGTGCATTTAAGCGATCGATTCCTAACTAAATTTAAAATTTTAGTTTGTCACGGCAGCCTAGGTGGAACATGGCGTCAAGCTACCGCCTAATACGAACAGAATCAATTATGTTAGTTATCCACCCATTCAGACAGCAGACGTCTATGTCTCTAGCCATGTGGTGAATGGAAGCGCCTAAACAGGAAGCCGAGACCAACGTCACAACAGCCGCTTGATGCGCTGACATTTAGGTCAGCCACTGGGACCTACGGGAGTGGCCACTCTTTACGTTCGTATATATTACTCTATGGTACAGCCTCCAAATGTTTCACAACATTGCGCGAACGCCGACCGGCCGGTAGATCAGCGCCTTATCGCGGCGTGAAAAAGCAAGTCAGCGAGACCACGTGCGTGTAGCAGAAGGTACATGTCTAGTCTCGCTGACTTGCTGTTCCATTCCGCGATAAGGTGCTTATCTACCGGCGGGTCGGTGTTCGCGCCAACGAGGTAGAGGGGCTTAGAGTGATAAACCGGAAGTTCGGAAGTGGCACCCCCCCCCCCCGGTTGCCGCCATGTTTTACGCAAATGTGACCACTCGTCACGTGAGCTCCCAAGAGCCGTGACGTCACAGGTAAGATGGCAGCGCCCAGAGCTGGCGGATGCGAGTTTGTTCGGCGCCGTTCGGCACGCTAGCCGTGATGTACAGCTACTTTCCGACGACTTCGGTCTTCTTCGTGCTCGCTGACGAAGTTATAAAGTGAAAATATGAAGGAATGAGACTTTATACCCTTTTTGCGCAAGATCGCACTGGATCATCTGGATATTAACACCTGTGAGGCAGCATCAGCCTTATCGCCGTACCCGTGCTCGGATTCGGCATCTGTTCGAGGATCGATAGAACTTTGAGTGCTTTTAGCATAAAATTTTCGCATTCTCTTAGCTTTGTTTGAACGTTGGAATGTCTGAGAATCGACACGAAATGTTTGCGTCGGATGTAGGGCCTAGGGGAATTTGTTTCAGCCCTAACTGCATAATCACAGCAACTTTTAGCGAGAAAGCTCCTGCGACCTTTGCGTTTAGCACTTATCAACACTTTTACGATATAACTTCAGGCATAAAATATTCGCATTTTTCAAGCTTTGTTTGAACGTTGGAATGTCTGAGAATCGAAGCGAAAGGTATACGTCGCGTTAGGGCCTAGGGGAAGTTGTTTCAGCCCTGCGTCACCGAATAACCATAGCAACGTTTAGCGAGGAAGTTCCTGCGATCTTTAACCTTTTGTGCTAATCGACGATTCTACGTTCAATCGCTTTTCTTCCTTTTTTTTGTGAGTGCGAAGTGCACTTATTTTCAGCTACGAGGATGACGTTTTATTGAGTGTGGGGATGAATAAATCGTTGCAGGCACCTGCTTCAAAGCTTTTCGACTTGCTATAAGAACAACTGTTTTGGTGTATGCATAAATTAACTGCACCTTTTTTTCTTTCGTAGGATTTATTGCAGCAATACGTTTTTCATCAAGAGTGTACTGCATTAGTCGGTCAATTATTTACTTGTTCTCATTACCTGGATAAGATGATTCACATTTGTGTTCATCCCTCGCCTGAAGAGCAGTCATTGAAAAATCTTGACCATTCCTCTCGGTCTCTTCAATAGACTTTTTGGAAAGTGTAGGCTGCCTATACTTCGGATCATTGTAACTTGGAAAAGGGCAACCGCCACAGACCCCTCGAGCCAATCAGAGAGACGGAGCGAAGGTGTGTGACAAATCTGTGCAGACGAGCACTCTGACGATATGTTGTCATGTGCCTCTCTCCAATGTGCCTATTGACTCGCCGAGACGGTAGCCTTTGCCGT